GACTCAGGGATTGCCAAGGAACATGGGTGTGTTTCATGTAGAAATTCGACTGGCATTCCCCAAAAGTCACACTGGCAATACAACTTTAACCCCGGCTTGTTTGTCTGGCAGATAATCGACGATCACATCCATTCCTGGAGATCTTATAAGAGACGGTGTCTCTACGCTAGCGCAACCTTACCACTGCCATCCCCTTGCACCCCCATCTGCATCTCAGCAACCACCCAGCTTTTGTCTCTGGCATAGGATTCCATTAGGTACCTACATACCTTACCCGACAAGATACACTATCATGAGAGACTGAACCCCATTCATTGCCTTACCTTAGGTGGGTAGGTATCAATTGCCCCGGCGCTTGAGAGAGGGGCTTCATCCTTCTAAAGCCCAGTTTCGGTAAGTTACCAATTCTCTGAAAAGCTGTTTAACTAGTAGCTGCTTTCCCCTCAGTACAAGCAAAGAAGAAGCAGAAGAAGCAGACGGAGCAGACGAGATTTGAATGCCCTACCGGGCTTTCCTAGGGCCCAATACATGGCTTGTCCGCACGGCAGTGAAGTGGTATTAAAGGATCCGGTAGACTTGCCTTGTCTTGGCAGCACGCTTACTGTGAAGGGCCAACTACCTAAGGAGGGATGCCTTTCGAGAAAAGCACCTAGCTTTCCGTACTTCCATGACCGCTTTTAACTGCACATACAGCTTCGTGTCGAGTGAGTGAGCTAGCCAACGCACCCACGCTGCCGAAGCCGGCTACTGAGGGGACAAAGGAGCAACTAGAGGATTGGTCGCCGACCAAAGTCGACGAGGGTGTCGTGTCATTAGCAAATTTCCTGTGAGCCTTTCCCCAATACTAACGCACTAATATTTGGCACAAGGATTCAATACATACAATACTATGTACATGCGGACCCTTATTGAAGAATACACACTACCTAGATAGCCGAGTCCAGCCATTCCGGCTATTTGAGGCTTCTCAATATTTTTTTTATTTTTTTTTTCACTTCATTTCGGAACCATCAGCTGATACGAGTTGTCACTCTAAAAACGTTTTTCATCGTGTTCATACCTAATAACTAACTAGTGTAAAGTATAGTATATCATTCAAAGACAACCTCTCATTAACTCGATGTATCGTAAGTTAGTGGATACATAAAATGGTAGATGAGGCTTACAGCCCAATGACGCCCTCCAATGATATCGCTTTACATTAGATAGGACCTAAGCCAAGACAGCCTATTGTATTCGGGTTTACAGGGAAACGCACTTGGTGGAGACATTTCCGAAGCGAGCATAGAACATCCGGTAAAGTCATACCATCTCCCCGAGACATCCACGATGATAAGGCTGCCATGCATACCTATACCTGACTTGGAGTTTATGGGGAAACACTGTGGATAATTTAAAGTTTGGGCATGGCCTTGACATCCCCAGACTTCATGGCACCACCATTGTCCAAGTTAGTTGTTGGCGTTATTTCTCGCCATTGTGACAACCTCAAATTTGATGTGGCTGACTACAACATATTTCCTCAACAGTGAATATTGACCGCAAATCCCCCGAAAAGTGATAGATAAATTAGGTACGATAGTTTTGTTCGTGGACATCGCTTTCTCAAAGTGAAAGCTTGAGGCCATCTAGCAAGATAGCTTTATCTCCTCGAGCTTCATTCATGAAGGGACCTCGGCACGAGCAGTCACGTCGTAAATGTCCAGTTCCTACTATCCTTCATGTATACTAGCTTTGCTCACAGAAGAATCCATATAATTCTCTCCGCTGTTGGTAGCGCCGAAATTGGTTTTGTTTTGGCTAAACCTCTCCTTCCTTCGTGACAGGCACTGGTAGCCAGGTCTCCTTGTCTTACGATATGTCAGAGTAGGCCTTGTATGGCTATTGTTTCTACAGCGATGTAAAGAAGTTGAACTGTTAGGCCTTGGAGATAGACCCTTTCATCTCGCTACGCCGATCTTTCTCGTCAGTAGGGTTTAATACCGTAACACATTTAAAGTAACTGAAGATGATATGTGCTTCAAGGTGGATATACTATACTGAGAAGGTCATGGTGAGCGTGATATGTGACTTTCCAGGAATTGATGGCGTGATACCTTCAGCTCGCAGAAGCTGTCACTACTGGACACCCTTTTCTATTACAGGATGTGGCAGTGTACCATCCATGCATATAAAAGATAGGCGAGCACTTATCTCTAACGTCCGTCTATGGGTCCATTAATTCAAAACATCGATGGGTTGTCAGGCGCAGTTGCAACTACACACATCGACGGTAGGACATTACCTAGCTGCCTAGTAAACGTAGCATAGCATACCTAAGGTAGGTTAAGTAACTTGACAACCTGGCTTCTGCCGAGGAATGCACATAACCCAGTGTGCCCTCGATGGATGAGATGTGGAGAGCTCGGATGGGTTATGGTGATTTTACTTAGATTGCAAAAAGCGACATAGTAATTAATATTGCTATACCGCCGCAGATTACCTGGGTGACATGTCCTGGCGCTCGACAAGGGGGGGAATTCCACCCTTGAAGACAACCATCCGCGGATGATGTTCTTCTAGACAGTTGAACTAACTAACTCTATAGCATCTGCCGTTACACGAGCCAATCAAAGAAGCCCGTGGATTCCTCGTAGAGATATAGAGATATAGAAACTCTCGTCAACTACGTAGTTATCGCAGCTTAATAAGTGTCAGGACGGCATTGCATGTCATTGCAGTATCGAGGTCCTTTAGTATATAAGGTAGGTATGAGGTACCTAAGGCTACCTGGTATAGGTACCTACTAGTCTTCAAAACGACAGTATAGCTTTTCCCTTTCTCCGTAATGTGGATCGTGAATACCCAAGAGTTTTCTCTATCGTAGGTCCGATATACGTGCCTCGAGTTACATCCCGGGATGCCAGACGTAGGTAGGTTTTTTTTTTCGAGATCCGAAGGGGGAACCGTCCTGGTACATCTTACATAGGAATGTTATAGGAACAGAACATATCGCGAGTGATCTATCCATCCACCCATCCATCTACCCCTTCCATTCCACTCGGCCCGTCGGTATGTAGAGCGGAAGGAGGTAGGTACCTAGGTAGCAGTGGCGAATACGAGTGTTGGGGAGGGGGGGAGGAGTACGCGTGGTTAACCTTATACCTACTCTTTGCCGTCTAGAGGGGGTGGTTCAGAACGAACAACAAATTCCGGGTCCGCGATAGAATATATTGCCTCGTGCTGCTGTTTCTCGGCTGAGACCTTGCGGCTAAATGTGTGCGACGTCGTACTAATTATTCCCGTCGTCCCGATCCTGCGGAGTCTAGCCGATATGTAACGTTAGGTCGGTACCAAAGCATTACCCATGAACGGAGGCATTCGAGACAGTTGGAGATTTCGTCTCTGTTGACGTGGTTGTTGGGAGATGTGTTGATGTGTGTAGGAGGTAGGGTCGGTTAAGGGTTGCGAGAGAGCGGAGCGGGTGTAGTGTCGAAAGTACATTTTTCTTCTTGTGCCAGTGGTACAGCTACCGTATGCCTAACGGGTGATAGTATTAGTAGTGATGTACTTATTCTCACCTCGTTGGGGATTGTAGTTCTGCTCTATCCTATTCTACGGAGCAACCGCGTCGCATTTCTCAAACGACCAAGCGGAGGAGACGCCAAGTTCACAAGAAGCTCCAGTAACGTAGAGAGTTCAAGCGCATCCGTTCACACAAGGTGAGAACCTCGTGGTAAGTGAGTGAGTGAGTTAGTCTGTTATGTGTTACATGGTACCTACGTCTAGAACAGGTGCAACTGGGATCATGAATTCAAGAAACCTGTATTCCAGGAGTGCAATCAAATAAGCTAAGATACGACGGCCATCAGCGTTTGCCATGTGTCGTAGCCAATGGACCTCTTGGCTCAAGATAGCCTGCAATCCAAAAAGTGCGCCTAACCGCCACATGTTGGCTACGTGTCAACTCACTTCTAGATGGATATCGATATACAAGTTACTTTATATGAACAGTATTAGGTAGATGTGTTGGCGATAGCCCCTTTCTTTGCCTACTAAAATTAGCGAGTAGGGAATTCATGTTTCTATGTTCAGACCACAAACCCACAGGTCAGAGTCTACTTGGTAAGAAAGCATGGAATGCGTTTAGTTTTCCATAAATCCGTCTACCGGCAGTTGCTAGTTATTCCACCTGCAATATCTCCAGGCTCTAGAAATAGACGTCTGGAACATCGGCGATGTGATGAACAAATCGGAGTAGGAATCAGATGTCGAGGATGCAGTTACGCACATGCAACCTATGTCCATGTTGTGAAATCTATTATGAAGCGAATCGTCTATAGACTGAGCGTTGCCCGCAAGTTCGTGTCTATGTCTGTAGGTATCTTGTCTCATCTAGATGACTGCGATAGTCTAGATGCGTATGTGATGTTTTCTTGGGTCTTGGGAATTAGAAACAGATGTGGTGGTTATGTGTGCAAAGTAGTAATTGGAAGTTGTCCCCGGGCCGAGGATAAGGGTGGGTATATCTAGTGATAGGATGTCAGAGTTAGTTGTTGATGGTAAGCACAGATTGCCGTGCGGAAGAGACATGAGAATCTAATGGCTGAAGACGGGATGAGGCTAGAACTAAGTACACTGTCCATTGATGTGGTCGATCAGGAGAGTAGCAGAGGCACGGGAAGATGCATTTGGCACAGCTGCGCACCCGTAGCCAGGTGCGCAGCAGGCTAAAGGTTTAATACAGGTTGTGTTTTGTTCGCGGCGCCGTCTAACGATAGTTACTCTACAGTTAATGTAGTAGCTTTATAATGATAAGCTTGGAGGTTTCATTGGATCTGGTGGTAAATATGACAGTGGCTCCTCCCTGGAAAGAAGCCGTAAAGGAATATTTATACACATATTTATTTCGTAGGCTAGAGATATGTATCTCTCTAGCCTACTTCATACCATTATTTGGATGAAGGATCACGATGCGGCGAGTATGGGGGCTAATATCAACGAACATCGGCTCTCTGATCTTCTAAGGGAATTTTAATTGGTATTAGTTTAGATTGACTATACTATGATATTATAGACAATGTTAATCCCCTCGATGTTTAAGCTTTGCTGACTCTCTTCTGATTCTAACGGCAAGAAACTTGTCTATATCTCTCCTATATCCTGTCCCAGGCTGATTATCAAAAGGGCAATGGTACCTGGTAACATGCTGAAGGTAGTTCCTTGGAACTAACTCATGGTTTTTCTCGTCCTCTTGCTAGCTCGTACCGTTTCTGTGGAAGTATTGCTTTCAATCTTCACGGCTTCGGTTACAACTACCTGACGTCTTTTCCGGGTACGGGGCAGAGGTCCAACCGCTGCAGCATCTCCAACTTCCTCGACTTTCACTTTCACTTTCACATCAACAACTTCGGCTTTAGCAGAAGCCTGCTCCGAAAACGACTTCAGGTTCGCGGTGAAAAGCACCGACTGAGCCCAACCCGCATACGGACCCCAGATACTCCGAAAATGGTCCCCGACGGAGTCATACATGGCCTTAGAGAAGGTCTTTGACTTAATCTTTCCGAATTTATAATCCCTTTGGGCAATCTGCCACACATGCGTATCCACAGGGACTGCCTCTCCCCAGCCTAGACCCATCAAGCAAACACAGTCTGCGACTTTTGGGCCAACACCTGAGAGAAGGAGGAGCTGTTCGTGGGCATGCTTATAGGTGGGCACCTCCGCGGCTTTGGGCGTCACCACTTTGCACCAACCTGGATTTTCGGGATTTATGAGGCTTTCAAGCCACCCCTCTGGTTTCTCCTCACATACCAAACGGGCTGTCTCGGCAATGTATTTGGCCCTATAACCGAACCCCAATTCCCTTAGATGAGCTTCTACTTTCTTCCCGCTAAGCGCTTGCGGTGTGGGGAAGTCATGAAAGGCTTCATCTCCAATGTGTCCAACGAGTGGGCCGTAGTATTTGCAAAGTTTATGAACCTAATGCAGTGTCAGTATGAGTGATATCCCACCTACATACGAAGACAAGTATTGGGTTGACATACCATCTGAGAAATACGGGATATGTTATTATTGCTGCTACAGATGAATGCGATGAGTGCCTCCCATGGATCTTGGTTGAGAATCCTGATTCCTGTGAATTTTGGAGCTTTCTTCCGGAAGTTTGGGTCGGACTTGGACCATTGGTTATAGAGGGCTGTCACTGTGGCATTCCAAGTTAGTTGGTAATAATGAAAGCGTAATTGTCTCTATAAATTGGAGGTGGATTGCGCTTACAATCAATCTTTAAGCTAAAATAGTGTCTTAGAAGTGATTCGGTATCATCAACATCGACACCAACACCATCACCATCGGCTTCAGGTTCACCCTTGGCAGATACCGGAGGCGTTAACACAGGTGGAATGGCATTGGTCGAAGTTACTTTATAATGAAGATGATGCTTATCCTGCTTTAACGAGAGCAGTCTTCCATAGAGAACACAGTTCCTAATTATATATCGGTGTTAATTAAAGCGCTTAAATTTTGCATATGATGTATGTATCTTACCACTCATCATCTATTTTACGCCATCGAAAAGACTGTCCGCAACGAAGAGTCGTCTCGATGCAGAGGTCAGTCAAGCTTAAGGGGAGTTTCCTCCAATCTGATGCCCGTATAGGAGCCATGAGACCAGGAGTTGGACGACAAGATGGTACGAATTATCAGGTGAATTATACCTTAAGTTAGGTGCCAGGTGGTACTTAGAAACTAATGCACGATGTTCTAAAAGCTGTAGCTGTTTCGCCTCCTGATTGCTCTTCGCCTTTCCCAGAGATCCCTAAAAAGGCAAGCGGGGACCTGCTATCTGATAACTCTAAGAAGACTAAACCAAATCAGGGCTAGTGACAAGTGACAAGTACATAGTACCTATGCCGCTCCACTCTGGGCCAGCCAAAATTTCTATTTTCCAGCCGCGCTGCAGCTCCACTGTCAACAGCTTCATCCTACCGCCGTGCAAGTACAGCTTGATATTTCTTTTTTCATTTCACCTACTTTATTCTGTTTACCATTTTCATTTCCATTCTAGTCTGATAACTGTTTTATCTCCTACCTACCCATCTTGCATCAGATACCTGCATAAGGGATCAAGCAGATACCATGAACGGCGACAGTTATTCTTCTCGAGGTGAGGATGGATTGTGTCTGTTTTTATTGTTACAATTGGAAAAGAGCTAACAAAATCATTAAATTTAGACGGCCGTCATGGTTCATCTCGGGATTATCCTCCCCGCGAAGACCGCCGAGACCGAGGTGATCGACGAGACCGACGACGGAGTAGATCGCCTCGTCGGCCGCACCGTGATGCTAGGGATGAAGATGCATATGCTTCTAGCCGAAGTCATCGAGACCGTGAGCGCGAAGATCGATATGGAGGTGGCCGAGATCGTAGGGATAGGGAATGGGATCGCGACCGTGGTTCGCGGAGAGATACTCGTCGCGAGGACACCGGACGACCTCCTCGACGCGACCGCGACTTATTCGATGATAGGCGCGGCGGTGGCGATAGACGGGATCGCGAAAGGATGGACAGAATGCGAGATGAAGACCTTTTCGCTCAGAATCGACGAGGGCGCAGTCCGACACCGCCCCCAAAGAAGCGAGAGCCTACACCAGACCTGACCGACGTTGTCCCCGTTTTAGAACGCAAGCGACGTATGACACAATGGGATATCAAGCCTCCCGGCTACGAGAATGTCACTGCTGAACAAGCTAAGCTTTCAGGCATGTTCCCTCTTCCTGGAGCGCCGAGGCAGCAGCCCATGGACCCTACAAAGCTACAGGCTTTCATGAGCCAGCCAGGCGGAACAGTGAACAGCGCGGCCTTGAAGCCGGGAAATTCCCGACAGAGCAAGAGACTTATTGTGTACAACATTCCCCCGGGGTCGACGGAAGAGAGTCTTATGGGTTTCTTCAATCTTCAGTTAAATGGCCTCAACGTGACTGAGAGTACCGATCCCTGCGTCCTATGTCAAATATCCAAGGATCAGTCTTTCGCCCTCCTCGAATTCAGACATGCTTCCGAGGCTACAGTTGCTCTTGCCCTTGACGGTATCTCTATGGATGCCGAGGATGCCGCGGACGGCGCGGCCAATGGGAGCGGGCAGGGCTTAAAAATACAACGGCCGAAGGACTATATTGTGCCTGCTGTTGTCGAGGAGACCCCGTATAAGCCTGGCGTCGTTTCTAATGTTGTCATCGATACCCCAAACAAGATCAGCATTGCAAACTTGCCGCCTTATCTTAGCGAAGATCAGGTTATGGAGCTTTTGACCTCATTCGGCGAACTTAAGGCGTTAACCTTGGTTAAGGATACAGGAACCGAAGAATCTCGCGTAAGTAGGCAAAGTATAAATCTATTCGTATTTTTGAAAGCTAACTTCTGTCAGGGTATTGCATTCTGTGAATTTGTGGACCCCGCTGCTACGGATATTGCCATCCAGGGCCTCAACGGCATGCTTATCGGCGACAAGAATCTCAAAGTGAAGAAGGCTAGCGTTGGAATTACCCAAGTAGCGGGTGTTGAGATGGGCGTTAATGCCATGTCTATGTTGGCAGGTACTACTGCTAGTGACTCGGAAGAGTCACGGGTGTTGCAGCTGCTCAACATGGTGACACCAGAGGAGTTGATGGACAACGATGATTACCAAGGTAAATATCACATCCTATTCTACGTACATGACCGAGCTAACTTTATATAGAAATATGCGAGGATGTCCAAGAAGAATGCTCCAAATTTGGCCAAGTACTGGATATCAAAGTACCGCGACCCACAGGTGGTAGCAGACAATCTGCGGGAGTTGGGAAAATCTTTGTTAAATATGATACGACTGAGTCAGCAAAGAACGCTCTTCGAGCCCTTGCGGGCCGGAAATTCGCTGATCGTACGGTGGTAACAACATATTTCCCGGAGGTAAGGGGGGGGGGGGGGGGGGGGGGGGGGGGGGGGGGGGGGGGGGGGGGGGGGGGGGGGGGGGGGGGGGGGGGGGGGGGGGGGGGGGGGGGGGGGGGG